TCTCGGAGGATTTCACCTTTGAGGATGAGGAATTTCTAAAAATTCCAATTTGGATCAAATTCCCTAAACTACCAATGAGTTTATGGAATGATGAGGCTATGAGTGAGGTGGCATCTATGGTTGGGGTCCCAATTACCACGGACAAGATCACTCAAGAGAGGGCAAACAATGATTATGCTAGAGTGTTAATAGAGGTTGATGTCTCAAAGCCACCACCACTTCATTTTCCTATACGACTACCTTCCCGAAAGGTAATCAAACAATTTGTGGTTTATGAAACTTTTCCTAATTTTTGCTTTCATTGCAAAGAATTTGGGCACCACCCATTTATTTGTAAAAAGCTAGCCAAACAAGATGATGGAGGAAGAGATAAAGTACCAAACATGGTGGATAAGGAGGAAATAGGCTCTGGCCCGACCGGGTTTGATGCCCAGACTATTGATGTTGTCCCAACTGAAGCAGAAGTTGCTGTCCAGGACACGGTTGCTGCCCACCCGACCGGGCCTCTCCCTCACCCGACCGGGTCTAATGCAGTAAAGCAAGGTGAAGCCGCAGTTCCAGCAGCCCAGGGACTCTCTAAAGCTACGGACAATGCCCTTGGCGTCGCAGGGGAGGATATTGAAAGGGTTGTGATGAAAGAAGAAGATTTGAAGGTAAATGATGTGGTTATTAAAGGTGAAGTAATAAGCGGTAAGACACTCAAGTTGGTTGTCAAACCGTTTAGATTTGTGCATGCGAGTGTGATTAGAGTGGATACTTCTCTTCGATTTACGGATGATTTGGATAAGAAGGGACTTACCTTCACTGCCAAATGTCTCGAGGGAATGCCGGGAGTTGCTAAAAAGAGAGGGGAGGTTTGTTTTGACTCAAAGTTTACTACTCCTTTCCGAGCTTTCTTTGGAGGTTAAATTAGTGATACCTAATGTTTTGTTGAGATAGTTTGATTTTATTTTGAACCTTATTTGTGAAATGGGGACTGTCCCATTATTTTGATGCATTGCATCTAGGTTAGTTTATTCTAGCTTAGATAGTCATTTTGATTGGGATTTGATGCATTGTAAAATGCTATTTTTTCGGTTTATAATATACTTACATGTTATCGAAAAAAAAAAAGGAAAGTAATACGAATAAGGAAAGTTGCTTGACTGTTACTCTTCTTGGCTGGCCGGTCGGCTGGGCTGGCTGGCTCCCTGAATTACAATTGTCTTTTATAGGAGTTTACAAATCGTAACCGCGATAAATAATAATAACTAATCAATTACAACATTAATACATAATTAAATACATAATTAAAAGCACATTAATTGTTTGACTGTTACTCTTCTTGGCTGGCAGGTCGGCCGAACTAGCTGGCTCCCGGCTGGGCTGGTAGGCCCAAGTCTTGGGCTTGGGCTTGGGCCTACTGGCTCAAGTCGTGAGCTTGAACTCATGAGTCCAAGTCTGGGGCTTGGGCCGATTAGGCTCTAGACCTAGTCCCATAACCTCACCACGAGTCCGCCACTCCCTTAGTCGAGTAGTATACTCGGCTAAGAGGGAGTAGTCCAAGTCAACTCTCCTTCTTCGAGACTCGAAGATCTTCACCTTTGTCCATGTCAGGGAGATGCCTCATTAAAAACCTTCATTAGGAAAAAACCCAATGAAAAAAATAATCCTAATGAAGAAAAAAAGAGTACACTTGACGCCCCAAGATGAAGAAAGGGGTGAAATCCTCAGCCTTTATTGCAATGGTCACCATCTGAGAAGAGGATGGCTAGAACCATTCTTATCGTCGGGCTCGGACTCATCAGGCTAGTTCTTTGCTTACTTGAAGACAGTAAGTTCCTCAGTCCCCCACTCCTTGAGGCGAGGGGAGTAGAGTCATATTCGTTCAGTCGTACCTACACATAAAAGAAACAAGTGTCCCGAATAAGGCGTTTGGTCTTGGTATCGAACCATGGCTCAACAAGTAAGTGAGTCGTGCTCACCACTCGAAAAGAGTGGCATCAAGTTCCCAAGTTAGGCCTCAACCCAAACTCAGAAAGAAAGATTGAATCTGCGAGCGATGCTTTGAATGAATAATCTTACCCCAAAGAACTAAAGTACATCAGGCCTTTCGAAAAATGTGAATGTCAATTAAGTGACAAAATTGCTCGAAAGAGCTTGGCTTTAGGCCCCTAACAAGAGCTTAACTCGCCGCCCGAAGTTAGTAGTTTGAACCTGCAAGTGAAAGCTTTGAATGGGTGACTCGTTCCCCGAGGTCGGAGTGTGACGCCCTAGGAGGAGGTAAGAGCATGCAAGAACTCGTATGAAATCAAGAGTGCACGGTTTTAACATTTATATTGGAGCTTATTAATCGCCACACCCATATGACGTGACCCAGTGACGCGAGTGTGTCTGCTCGACCGATGAACGTGAGTGATCGGATTTCATAAGCCCGTTTTTCAATGTTAAAATTACACACGCTCGACAAAAGTAAAAGCAGTTATACCACTTAAAACATCTTTTGAAATGTTTCAATTTATGATTTTTTTTTATTGTTGAATCATTTTATAATTTTTTGATAAAATATTGTCACATAGAAATTGTATGGATGGAGTTTTAGATACTTAGCTTTTGCCATGAGCTGAAATTGGGTCGCTGGAATTGTGACCAATCATCGTGAGGATTAATTTTGGGCTTGAAGTAGTCTTTGGACCCTATTCATTCTTCCGAGCTTCTGCTAGGGCTGGAGAGAAGGCAGCCTACCGCTATAGCCCGACTCCGGAGAGAAGGGGAGATCCAAATCAGATCGCCGCTCACCGTCAGCTATCTACTATTTTCCTGAAGACTTCCACCACACCCTCTACATAATCATGTGTCACCATAATGCCTACTCCATTTCTGTTCCTTTCTCTCCACGAATACCACAACTTAAAACCTTCGGGATTAATCTCACGTGTCTTTTCTCCAATCCACTTAGTTTCTTGCGTGCACATTATGCTGAGATTCGTCATTCTCATAACCTCAGCTATCTCAGACGATCTTCCTGTAAGAGAGCCAACATTCCATGTCCAAAAACGCAATCTAGCACCCTGCCTTTTCTTCTTCACAACACAACGACTCCCACCATGCCCTTGCATATTTGACACCATCCCCGGACATTGGAGTGGCGCGTCGCTTCCGGGCGACGACCTAGCATCCTTAGCATTCTTATCACCACACCCACGCCTATGAAGTGTAGCGCGCCCTTGCATATTTGACACCACCCCCGGGTGGAGGGATGACGCGTCGCTTACGGGCGACGACCTAGCTATAGCGATATTCACATTTCAAATCGTTATCAAATACAAATAAAATATCAGCATATTCGATTCGAATTTTAATCAAATACATTCAATTAATCATAGTTATAATAGCATAATAATAATAGTTATAATAGCATAATAATATTAATAATAATTATAATAGCATTTTTTCAAAAGAATAGTTATATCAACGTAATAATATTAATAACAATAATAATAGTAGTAATAAAATTTTAATAAATTTAATAGCTAGCTATAAAATAATAGATTTTTTTTACTTTGATATAATTATCAACTTACTTTACACATTATAGGTATAATTTCTAATATGTGTGTGTGAGTGTTTATTTCATGACATCTTAACCTTTGCACTTGAATTTATTTAAGATAAAAATTGAACCTTAATTATCTACCGACCAAATTTTCAGATTTTTGTGAAAATTATTGGTTTACATTTAGGTATTTTTTACGGGGGCATGATTGCAACTGGCCTTTTCTCCCCGTGTGGTGTTCAGTGTTTTTAAAACTTTATATATGCAATATTGCTGTCATATGAAAGATCATAAAAAATTATGAAGTTTGATATAAAAAAATTTAAAACATTTGAAAGAAATATATTAGATATTTCACTTTAAATAAAAAAAGATATTTTTCTATTCTATTAGTATTCATATTTTTTTAATTTTTTTGAATATGAATCTAAATCCAAATATGAAACAAATTAATATTAATTTCGATTTTTATTCGTATTCATTTAACAATACGAATAGTTAACAAATCATATCTGAATATCGAATATCACTTTTAAACAATTTTTTCTATATTTTTTATGTTATAAATGCACGGTGTGATTTAATATGTGTTTATAAAATTTAATTTGTAACATTATATATTTCTGTAAAATATAATGAATCAATGCGTTTTGAGGTTGTGCACAATATACTAAAGTGAATGTTTTATAATTAATATATATAAACCTATTTGAAAGTTTTTTGAAATAAACACTTACACACTTATTAGAAATTATGCCCGTGTAAAGTAACATGATAATTATACTCGTATCAAAGTAAAACGTCTATGATTTTATAGCTAACATTTAAAATTTATTAAAATGTTGTTACCATTATTATTATTAATATTATTATGCTGCTATAACTATTCGTTTGAAAAATGCTATTATAATTGATTATTAATATTATTATGCTACTATAACTATTGTTATGCTATTATAAATATTATTAATCGAATGTATTTGATTAAAATTCGAATCACATATGCTGATATTTTTATTTGTGTTTGATACCGATTCAAATCAAACTTAGTATTCTTATTTGTATTTGTATTTTTCGAATTCGAATATATTATACGAATTCGAATCCCGAACTGAGTATAAACTATTTGATTCGTATAAATTCTAGTCAACTGGCCCTTTCACTCCATATGGTCCTCAAAATTTTATAAACTTTATATGAGTAATATTGGTATCATATGAAATATAATAATTTTTTTTTAGGAAATTTGATATGTGTTTTAAAAAATTGGAGCAAATACATAAAAGATAAAACACTATAAAGAAAAATGAGATTTTTTAATTTAATCCCACTTCACCCTCTAAAGCAAAGTCACCAACTCAGTTGGCCATTTTTTAAGCAGAGTTGATTCCAACAGAATATTTTAATAAATAGTTTTGACCCGATCCTATTTTCTTAAAAAATTTATTTTTTAATATTAATGTGGAAAAAAAGTTACTAATAGGCGTAGGAGCATAGACCGAAAATTCAGAAACTCTGCTCAGGGTGTACAGATTCTAACCGGTGAACAGCACAGCACAGGGGTGAGGGTAAAAAAAATCACAATCTTCCTAAAGTTTGAAACTATTCCGTGGGAACTGCGCCGACTCCACACCCTAGTTCTCTTGCCTAATTCAGGTAAATTCTTATGCTTATCAATTTACCGAAGTTCTGATCTTTAAGCTTATTATATTTCTTCCGTTACTTAGTTAGTTCTAAATTCCTGGTGATCTGAATGGGTGTTCCACGTTTCAATATTTATTTAAAGTGGTTGGTTGTTTGGGTCTTTATTGTAGCACAGCTATATTTGGAAATGATGTTTGACCTGTTGATGATTAATTTTGGTGAATGCTATTTTAGTCCAAAGGGGTTTCTTCTCTGTTGAAATTTGTGTTGGTGTATAGTGGTATAACCGTTTAAGTATGGAATTGGTGAATAATGTAAAAGATCAGCGCTCCTATGAACGTTGAGAACGCTTTTGACTGTCACTGCGTATAATGGAATACAAGATTTTTGGATTATGAGGTTCTGTCAGATTACATCAAGTTCTTTTCATTCGCGGGATGTCATATACTTGTGTGGTCAAGTACAAACTCATCATACTTGTCTCAAATATTACCGATACAATACCTAAGGGAAGTGTGGTGATCATACTCCAACTTTATAATTCAAACATGAATGTAATGCTACATCTCAAAAGGTAAACAGATTACTCGAACTGAGCAAAGGTTATGTTACTAGGCTGAGCATTACATTCTATGAACCAAATGTCCCTTGGTGCAGTAGCCGCTAGTCCATACTCCGTCTCAGGTAAACAATTTACAGAGTAAATTGTTGTTACACTAATTGAAAGCGTTGTGAAATTAGGCCGCCTTGAGCTGTGAGAAAAGGTAAAGGCTGAGGGCGTGAATTTGTTTAACTGCTTTTTAACCCTTTTCCCTATTTCTTGCGTATTACAGAACAGGAGGGGGGCTGTGAATATAAGGATAAAGGCAATAAAACTTTCGTCTCTAGTCATGTACAAGCAGTCAACTGGTGGTAGGAGCAACCGATCAAGAAAGTTTAAGGTGAAGCATGTTCTTCAAATCTCTGTATTGCTAGCTCTATGCTTATGGTTTATTTACCAAGCCAAACAGTCACACGGAAAAAAGACTCAGTCTGGCGTTGGAAATGATCCGAAGATGTCACAAAAGACTGGCAATGTCCATGAAGCACCAAAATTAGGAAGAAAAGACCTTCCCCTGTCAAACGAAACAGATAAGAGTAATAAGATGGGTGACAATGAAGTGGAGGATGGCGAAATAGAGAGAAATGAAAATGAAGCACAAGCTGAGAAGCTGTATAAAGCCGATGATGCTTCGAGCGAAGTAACTCACATGATTATAAGTGGTCAAATTTCTGGGGAAAGCTCTACCTTGCCAAACACAACTTTGGAGCCAAGCAGAGGTGGTTCCTCTTTGGTTGTCAAGAATATTCTCTTAGATTCCTTAAACGAAACAGTATCATCTTCTGTAACGGAGAAACCCATACAAGGTCGTCCTAGGTTCCCAACACAGGACGACAGGTGGATCTCAACAATGGCTCATGAAATACGCGGATCAGGATTTGAGGCCTTAAATAACGAGCATATAGATGAAGTTCCAGATCTTATTGACACCGAAGATGCAGAAGAAATACAAACAGAAGAGAGTATTAACACGGAAGATAGTGCAGCTAAATGATACTACAAACACACTGTAACATGCTCTCACCTCTTTAATCATGCTCAAATTATTATTGTTGTTGTTGTTGTTTTTATTGCGCAAATGAGTTACAATTATTGCTTTGACACATCTCCATACATACCTATGTATTACTAATATTCCTATGTATTAATAATTGTAAAAATAAATGTACTATTTTCCGATGGAGTATTATGAGTTTACTTCATTTGGAATAGCTTGGACGGGAATACTGGAATAGTGTATATTTTCTCAGGAGCCATTCGGGCACCAAAATACTAGTGTACCTTCCTAAATAGATATTTCGTATAACATGTTAAATTTTACACTATTTACATGCTCTACTTTGACTACATTTTATTTATTAATACAACAACAACATCCAACCCTTAATCCTAAAAGATTTTGAGGTCGGCTAACATGAATCGATCCATGAAATCAGAATCAAAAGAGAAGAAAGAAGAATAAAAAAATAAAGATAAATCGAATAAGATAAATATAAATACGTAGTATAGGATAACAATAACATATGAAAGATAAACGATAAAAAGATTTTAAAAACATAAGAAAGACAAAAAAAATAACATAAGAATATAGAAAGATAAAGAAGAGAAAGGATAAAAGAAAAAAAAGAGAAAAGATAGAAAAGAGATTAATCGTTCACACTAATACGCGCATTCCACTTTGTTTTCTCCAAAGTCATACTCTGATTTCTCTAATTCAAACATGTTTGGGTCTTCATCACCCTCTCCCTCTCCCCACTTCTTCTCCCCACCTCTCAACTCGTCTAACAGACGCATCACTTGGTCTTCTGCGCACATAACCAAACAATCGCAGTCGAGACTCTTGCATCTTACTCCTTCTGTTTCGTTAAGATTGTCTCAGTTCCTATTCACTTGGTCAACACGAATCACTCTTAAGCTCTTATTTTATATATCAAGTTTTTATCAAATTTGATTCTGATTTTTGCGACTTTGTAAAGCTTTTAATTAGGCTTGGACCCGGTTCGGGCCGCCCGGCCCGGGACCGGCCTGGCCCGTCACTGTACGGGTCCGGAACCGGCCTGGTTCTCGGGTCCGGTTCGGGCACCGAACCGGTTGGGGTAGCGGGTCCGGGCTCGGGTCCTGTTTTTGGAGGCCCGGCCGGGTCGGGCCCGGCCCCGGGCCTAACGGTCATTTAAAAAAAAAAATTCTTTTAATTTGAAAAAAAACATTTTGGCTCAACAGCCACTTCCCAAACGGCTATATAGCTGTTGGGGGGGTACCAGGGGGGTCCAGGGCGTTTGGGGGTGGGGTGGGGTGGGGGGGTGGGGGTGGGGGGGTGGGGGTTAAAAAAACCTATAAATACTCCTAATTTTAAACATTCTTTCACACCTCTTCTCCAACTCTCCCTAAATCCTACTCTCTACTCATCTCCAATTCTCCATATTCATCTTCTCAAATTCTCTTATTCTCCTTTATATTTTATTTTACTATTTAATATTTATACAATTATTATATCTATTTATATATTAATTATCTACTTATAAATACATATACTATATTACTTATATTTCTTATCTACTTAATCTCTACTTATATTTCTTAATACATACATACATACATACTACATCTACTTAATATATACTTTATATAATAAAGTATTAAATATACTTTATAAACTATTACTATATACTTAATACATAATAATATCTACTTCTCTACTTAATAATATCTATTTTATATATACTTATTTTATAATATCTACTTTTATATATACTTTATAATATCTATTTTATATATACTTATTTTCTTATTTTCCAATCTCCAATTCTCCATTATACTCTAATATTTAATTCTTATACAATTATTATATCCACTTAATACATACATTCTACATCTACTTAATATATACTTTATATATTAAAGTATAAAATATAAGTGTATTACTCATCTTATAGTAGTATACTTATATATTATATACTATAAACATTATTATATATATTACTTACTATATCTAGTATTGTAGTATTTAATTAGTTAATTAGCATTCTTGTTACATTTATCATTATAATAGTTAATTAGTTCATTACCATTATTGTTACATTTTTCATTATACTAGTTAATTAGTTTATTAGCATTGTTGTTACATTTGTCATTATACTAGTTAATTAGTTAATTAGCATTGTTGTTACATTTTTCATTATACTAGTTATTTACTTCATTAGTATTCTCATTAATTGTTAAAACAACTCTACTTCAATAAACTAGTTAATTGTCATTAATTCATTATAGTTAAAGTCACATTTTCTTATTTTCAATTTATATTTGTAGGAAGAAATAGTAGTTCAATCATTTAATTAAAGTACTTAACATTTTATTTAAGTAGTTTTTACTAAATTAAAGTACTTCAAAAGTTGGTATAATTTTAATTTTAAAGTCACACATTAATTCTACTTTGCACTAAATTAGTTTGAAGTATTAATTAAAATAGTTTTAATTAGTTGCATTAGTTTTGTATCCATTATTATATTGGTTGTCAATTAATATTTGTTACATTTTTAAGATGGAAGGTGGTAGATATTCGGTTGATTTGGGTAACCTCCAACACAATCGAAGGAACGAGATTGGGAGGAAGAAATCCCGCAAAGGTAAAGAACTTGCCGGTTCTTCATCTCAAAGCCGAGATGATTTTGAAACGGGTTACCAAAGGCGAGATGGAGATGCGATGTCCGAAGAACAACTCCAACAAGAATTGGCCCGACATAATAACCGCTTTCTACAACAACAACAAATGCCGACGACCATTGACGAAGAGGAGCTTGAGGATGAAGATGCGGAGGAATTGGAACCGGAGGCGGCCGAGGAGGAGGGTGCCGGCAGCCACGACGCCGACGAGCCTGCCTCATCCCAAACCGCCACCGGTAATAAAAAAAGTAAGTCTGAACTAATGAAAAATAATTTTGATAAATGGAAGGACCCACAAACCGGCTATTGGCACGCAACTTGCAAGTGGTGCAACAACAATTATAGTTTGGGAACCTCCGGCGGATACGGATCCGCCGCAAGGCATCTTAAGGCAAAGCACCTCGTGGAGTATGCAAAATTAGGCGGCGGAACGGGGAAGCAAACTCAAATATCGAGGTTTGCGAATTCTCAACCTTTTGGTAATTTCTCCTACAATGATGCACAAAATTTGACTGGTATGGCTAACTTAATTTGTGAAGAAAATTTGCCTTATTTGTTTTCTGAAAGTCTTGCTTTAAGAGATTATGCACAAGGTAGTTTAAATCCTCAATTTAGAAATTATAGTCGCAAAACTGTTAAGAAAGAAATAATAAGGCTTTATAATGCGGAAAAGGTAAGATTACAAAATTTTTTTGCAAACTTTGATGGGCGTGTTACTATTTGTTCTGACATATGGGAGGATGATTTTCATCATTTATATTATTTGGGTCTGACTGCACATTATATTGACGAGGATTGGAATATGCATAAACGTGTTCTTGCTTTTCGTGAATTTAATGATCGTCACACCGCTGAACATATTTATATTTTGATTGAGCGTATTTTAATTGAGTATAATTTGATTGATAAGGTGTTTGCTATTGGTTTCGATAATGCTACTAATAATACTGCTGCTATACCTAGATTGCGTGAGTTGTGTGGTGCCAATTCTTTGATGGGTAGATTTTTTCATCAACGTTGTGCATGTCATGTTATAAATTTATGTGTGCAAGACGGTTTAAAAGCGTTAGGAGATTCCATGGAGGTAATCAAGGGGGGGATTAGACGTATTTGGGGTAATGGTCAACTTAGATTAAAATGGCAAACTTATTTGACTGAAAGAGGTGTGAGATATGTTGCTTTTCCTAAAGATTTGAGTATTCGTTGGAATAGTACTTATAAATTACTTAAAGTTGTTCTTAGATATAAAGAACATTTTCCTGCTTTTTTAAAAGAACATGATAACTCCGTTTTCGTTCATTATTTTTGTGATCATATGAAGGAAAAGTTTTTAAAATATTATGCGCATATTCCCCATATTTATGGTATTGCATTTATTCTCGATCCTCGTTATAGACTTGCTAATTTGGAAGATTGTTTCAACTTCTATTATCTTGCCTTTTTCGGTGAATTTCCAATGTATGACGATAACCCCATAGATCCGAAAACGGAATACAACGAGGTTAGTACTTTATTTTATGCCTTATTTAATGAGTTTCGTGCACAATATAGCAACGCTCCCCCTCCCCCGTCACGAACATCTTCATCTAAAGGAAAATCGATTTTTAAATCTGCATTTGGCAATCTTATGAAAAAAAACTAAAACAACTCACGTCACTGAACAAAGCGCATTGAATGAGATTACTTTGTATTTAACATATGAAGTTGATTTTGAAGAAAATGATGACTTTGACGTTCTAGACTGGTGGAAGTCAAAAGAAAGAACGTTCCCGATTTTAGCACGGATGGCTAAGCAAGTACTATCAATGCCGGTTTCAACAGTTGCTGTGGAACAAGAATTTAGTTCGGCCGGCAACGTCCTAACGGCATCTAGATCGAGATTGAGCGCGGAGTCTCTTGAGACGCTTATATGCTACCACGATTGGTTGAAGGCCGCACGTAGAACTCAAGAATTGAGCATCACCCCCTCCCAAGATTTTATGGATGACTCAACAACCGATGGTGGCTCTACCTATGCCGGAGATTCCGATTGATTAGTATTTTAGAATTTATTATAAAATGTATTTTATAGCACTTGTCAAATTTATTTATACTTGTACTTCATATTTCAAAATTGTAAACTTGTACTTCATATTTCAAAATTGTAAATTTGTAGTTGTACTTCAAATTAATTTGTAAACTTGTACTTCATATTTCAAATAAATTTGTGTTCACTTTTTCAAATGTAGCACTTCTCAAATTAATTAATTGGTTACAATCTAACGACTTAAAATTATTTTTCTAAAATATAAAGCCGGTTTTTAAATTAAAAATACATTTACAATATGTAATTTGTTTAAATACTTATACACCTATTTTGTAACATTTGTAAATTATAAATCAAACCACTTTTCTAAGTACAAATAGTTTTAGTTTTACTTAATTCATTAAATTAATTAATTTATTTTACAATATGTGTATAACTTAAAAAAAATTAAATCAAACCTCCCAAACGGCTATATAGCCGTTGGGGCTATGGGTGGGGGCAGGGAGGTCCCGGGGGTGGTGGTGTGGGAAGTGGGGTTCAAAAACATCTATAAATACATCTATTTTCTAACATTTTTCTACACCTCTTCTCCAATTCTTCTCAAACTCTTCTCCATCTTCATCTTCTCTTATTATCCTACATTCCTACTTATACATATACCATTTTAAATATGGAAAGTACATCTTCCCTTAAGCAAAACAATTTTGACAAGTGGAAGGACCCGAAGACCAGACTGTGGTGGGCAACTTGCAGGTGGTGCAAGAAAGAGTGTTGCTTGGGGCATTCATACGGATACGGGATGCCAATAAAACATATGAAGTCCTGTGACAAAGGGAAAACAACAACCAACGGTGGCGGAAATCCCAATTGATATTCATTAGAAAATGTATTTCATATTGTTATTTTTTTCTCAATTCTCAAATGTAGTTCTTATTTCAAATAAATGCACTTGAGCTTTGTTTTTAATAGCAATTTGTATAATATATAATTAATTAAAAAAAATATACTGGCCCGGCCCGGCCCGGCGGGTGGCCCGACCCGTGACCCGGGCGGGTGGCCCGGCCCGAACCGGAACCGGTCATTGACCGGGCCGGTCCCGGGCCTACCATTATAAGACCCGAGGCCCGACCGGGCCTTGACCCAGCCCGGGCCCGACCCGGCCCGGGTCCATCTCTACTTTTAATGTAGTTTCTGAATATGTATTTTTTTTCTAAAAATATTTTGAGTGCGGTCAGGGATGTGTTTGCTTTATCGTCGGTCAAGCATCGTAAACCGAATTGTCCCAATCTTAGTGGGACGGAGGTAGTATCTTTTATCTTAGTGGGACCGAATTGTCTGATCATCTCATTCCTCAAGCGATCTTTTTTTCAATGTCCACACATCCAATGCAACTGATGCATCTCTCTTACACTCATCTTTTGAATGTGACATTGTTTCATCGGCCAACACTATACGTCAAAAATTAATGCAGGCTTAATTGATGTTCGATAAATTTTACCCTGTAGTCTAGTCGGCATATCTCGATCACATAGAAATCCTGATACACTCTTTCATTTCATTCATCCAGCTTTGATTCAATGGGATACATCTCCATCTAATTCACCATCCTTCTGAATTATGGAGCTCAAGTAACGGAACATATCACACACTGGTATCTGCTCCTTACCATCAAGAGTAATCCCACTATTACTACTACTTCTACCTCCACCGAACTTGCACTCCATATACTCAGTAATGCTTCGACTCAGTCTGAAACCCTTGGTCTCCAATGTTTGTCGCTATATTTTCAACTTTGCTTTAACACTCGATTTCGTCTCATCAATCAATACAATATCGTCGGCAAACATCATGCACCATGATATATTTTCTTGAATTGACGTTGTAAGTTCATCCATAACTATAGCAAATAAGAAAGGACTCAAAGCCGATCCATGGTGCACTCTGATAGTAATAGGGAACTCTGCGGTCCACCCTACACTAGTACGAACACTTGTTGTACAAGCCTCATACATATTCATGATGATGCTGATATACTTATGTGATATGCCTTTTCTAGTTAAGACCCTCTAAAGCACTTCTCGAGATACCCTATCATAAGCTTTTTCTAATTCAATTAACACCAAATACGGATCTTTTTTAGTGTCTCTATACTTCTCTACAACTTGTCTAAGAAAGTGAATGACCTCAGTTGTTGAGCGTCTAGGCATAAAATCAAACTGATTCTCTGAAATTTCCACATTTTTTCGAAGTTTTTGCTCAACCACTCGTTCTCAAAGTTTCATGGTGTGACTCATAAGCCTAAATAGGGGAATGAGAGTACTCACCTGCCAACTCACTCGCATTTTTTTGTTTCTCCAAATCATGTTGAAGAAACGTGTTAGCCACTTGATGCCTTTCTCTCCCAATCTTCTTAAAGCCTCGATAGGCGGGTCGGCTAGGCGGGCGCCTAGGCGGGGACTAATCGGAGACATCAAAATTGTAGTGTTATCAATATTTTTGCAAAAATATGATTAGTAATGTTGTATTTGTGTGTGTGTAAAAAATATATACACACACATACACATTAACATGCATGAATGATAGAGTTATCACATTTAATAATATATTATATCTACTCACTTACTCACTAGTAGCTTTCTTCACATGCATTGTCAAAGTTAAAGGTACATATTTCTTATGATACTAAAATAAAAAAGCAAAAAAAAAACAAATTGTTCTATGAATCTAGATGCCTAGGCGGCCCATTAAGCGCTCTGGGCGGGCAACTATGCACCCTAGACGGCCGACGAATTCACCTAGGCGCCGATTCAACTAGTCGAGCGCCTAGACCAAAATCGGGGCACCCGACAACCGCCTAGCGCCTAGGTGGGGACTAGTTGGGCGCCTAGAGCGATTTTTAGAACAATGATCATGATTAACCCCTTCATCAACCCCAAATCCCTAATTAAACTACTCACAATTCGTAATTGAAGAATCAACAGATTTGGGATGAATAGAAATAATTGTCATTAATTAAAAAAATGAACTTACAAATAATCTCAGGGTCTTGGAGTAAACAATGATAAAAATGCAAGTAAATTCGTCCCTAGCCTCTCCGTAATGTTCGTAACCCTTAAACAGGAGAAGGGAGGCCTTTTTTATAGCAAACAGATGAGTTTGGTCTGAACTGAGACTAACAAGGGGATGAAATCCGCGTTTCGGGGGTACGCACAATCGTGCGTGCCCTTCCACGCACGATCGTGCATACATGGCAGTGGCTGCCTTGCCTTCTCTCCTCGGACGCACGATCGTGCATTCCCCTACGCACGGAGTGCGTCAAACTTCCAAATTTGACAAAACTTCCTTCACGAAAGTTGTAGTTAATGAAGTCTTCTATCCACCCCAACTTGCCGAATTGTATTTGAATCATCCAATCAAGAGATATGATCAAAATGGTGAAAGGTGTCATTCTAAAATCGCAACAGAGATCATCTGACGTTATCGTCTGTTTTCACCTTCTTCCTCTCAGATTCTCGGAATGGTGTCTTCATATGGTTTGTATCCCTTGACGTTGGCTTTCCAATGAAACTTGAATCGTGTTATTTGAATGCTTCTACAAAGAGATACGCTTGAACGATTGACCAAAGGTCATCCTGATCGTCGTTTTCCAGCTTCATTCATCTTCTTTTGATCTCATAGCCAATCCTAGAGCTCTTTTTTCATCAAATCTTCATCGTGAACCTCCCGTTTACCTCCAAAGCTCTCAATTCACTCTCGAATGCTTCTCCAATCGTCATGATTGCTTCTCACGCGCCGGTGCCGGACTCTAAATTCATGATTTTGACTCCAAACAACACAAAACTCGAACCAACGTCTGGTAAACGTAACTTGAGCTAAAATTGAGACTTGTAACACCTTAAAGCTAGGAAAACCATGAAAAGACGATCCCAACACGCATCAAATGCGTGTAGAAATACGGACTTATCACTGAACCTACCTACTTTGTGTGGAAGACCTTGACTCCGGCATTGGACCCCCAAACCAAGGTCACGTGCAAGATTGTTTTGAGTTGATTTGAAGATATTTGAAGAGTATGGTTAGGAAATTTCGCCCCATACTGAACTAGGATCATGGACAAGCTACCAAAGACCATTTTGTAGCCTATCAAAACCCTCCATTATATTCCATGACAAATGAATCAAGCAATCCTTGTAATAACTCTTGTTTTTTATACTTATGTGCTAACTTTTTTCTTGGAATTCTTGTGGAGGGAAGATCCTTCTCCTTAAACATTGGTGTTTGGCTAATATTTCTTTTGTATTTTAGTATTCCACTACATTAAATATGGTAGTGATCAGTAGAGTATTAGATGCAAAATTCTAAGTTAAGGCACATGATGAACCTCTACCCCTCTAGGTGTTTGATAAAAGTTCAGAAACAATAAATTGTAATTGATCTTTTACATTTGATTGTTTATGAATATGGTGTATAACATAGAAGTATGTTAAACTTAGTTTATATTTGAAATTTATGTTAAGGTCTAAACTGTGAACACTAGAGGATAGACATAAACATCGAGAATAAAAATATATCTGAACTTGTATGGTGTGTGTGTGTGTGTGCTGTATTGATATTTAATGGGGTTTTCTCTAGATGAATGTAAGCTGTAACCAGACATACACAGCAAAAAAAAACCCGTTCCTACTGCCTTAACCAATGCAGGAAATATACTAGTGACATCGTACTCATAATATTTGACAAAGAACTAGCATTAAAATCTAGTAAACCGTTTAGGTGAATCCCGATGCCTTGGTTTTATTCTTAATCCATATTTGAATTCAATATCGAAAGAAAATCCTTGAAAATCATAACTTTTCCATACGTCAAATTAGTATCCCGGACTTTATAAAAACAAACGTTTTTCTGCGGACCGGCCCAGTATTTTATTGGTATTTATTAGTACAATTGGCACTTGTATATTTGCAAGTTTACCCTAAACAATTTTTTTTTGTCGTTGTCGGGAAAACTACTTGCTTCCATAAAGTTCAAACAAATCCAAATATTCTCTTTGCGTTGATATGCTCTTAAAAGTCCCATCTATGAACCT